TTATTACTAAATAAATGTGCATAAAAATTAAGTTGAGACATAATTCTGTATTCAATGTTTATTCAATTTTATTTAATTAAAACCTACTAATATGAGCGCAAACAAAAAAATATAACATACTTGATTATTATACTAAAGCCTTCGTAATTTGAGTTGTAAGTTTCTTTCCATGCATTGAATGTGTAGGTAATTTTTTTGAGACTTTTATTCTTAACAAAAATTATTAATTCAAATACAACAATTTTGTTTTTAAGATTTAAATTCATTTTTATCTCTAAATATATTTCTATTTAAAGTTATTTTTACATTTATTTTCAAAATACCATTTTAGTTATCATTTATAGATTAGCTTTTTAAATGATTTAGTCGCAGATTAATTAGTTCTCTTAACTAAGCTATAGAGAAAATCTCTTAATTCAAAACTCAATTATAGATTTATTTATAATCAAATAAAAATTTAGTAATTATTTCTTTTATAATAATCAATTAGAAAAGTATTTTTATTATCATTTTAATTATATTTATGATGAATATTTTTTTCAATCTTGAAGTTCACACATTTGCAAAGTAATAGAAATTTAAATAAATTTATAAAATGAATTCTTCTAATGAGAACTATTTGAGCTGCCGATAATCAATATATCAGGAGGACGGCACTATTGAAAAAGAAGTTGACAGCTTTAACAGAGAAACATATAGGATCGAGAAAATAAAAATTCAAATCAAGTTCACCTCAGATTAAAAAATAGTATATTCATAAAATAAAGCAATCTTGAGAGTGTACAATTTATTTATAACTTTATATAATAGAATTGAATGCCATGATGCCAAAGGGAAAAAGGAATTGTTTAATAATATGGATCAAATCCATAATCTGTTATGGGAAGGTTAGTATTAATAAAACAAAACGAAAGAAGGTAAATGGATTGCTTTTTGGAATAAAAAACTTCTAAAGAATGTTGGTGGATACTATAAAGCAGGGTTAAAGCACGGGTTATGGAAAGATCTATTCCTAAACTATTCAGAGTAAGCTCTAGATTTATTTGAATAGTTAAGCATAAATTTTTGAACTTGGAGAATATTCTGATGGCTAAAAAATTGGAAGATGGGATTATATTAAAAAAAATAAGAAAATGTATTAATTTTATTTTTAAAATTGTTTAGTGGTGGTGGAAATTACAACTAGAATGGTGTGAAGTATGGCAAATGGATTGAGCTAGATGAAGGATTTTATAGTCAGAAAAAAGTTGTTTATATGGGTGAATATAATATGAATGGTGTGAAGGTAGGTAGCTGGGATATTATGTTAAAAAATGAGCTTGAGAAAGGATATTAATAAATGTAAATATTAGATAATATATATAGTGGAGGCGGATTATACGATTAAGAAGGGAATTAGAAAAAGATTGGAAAGTGGACAGAATTGGATGAAGAGTTTTACGGTTATAACAAATTCACTCATAATGGTGAATACAATATCAATGGTATGAAGATAGGTAGATGGGAAATTATATCTATTTAATATAGAAAATAGTAATAAATGTAAGTATTATTTATATGAATATTTAAATATATACAGTGGAGGTGGATTGTATGATTAAGAAGGAAATTAGAAAAAGATTGGAAAGTGGACAGAATTGGATGAAGAGTTTTACGGTTATAACAAATTCACTCATAATGGTGAATACAATATGAATGGTATGAAGGTAGGTAGATGGGATATTATATCTAATTAATATGGAGAATATAAATAAATGTAAATATTGGTAATATTCAAAATTTATAGTGGTGGAGGATCATATGATTAAGAGGGAAATTAGAAAAAGATTGGAAAGTGGGTAGAATTGGATGAAAGGTTTGATAATTAGAAGAAAGTCACTTATATTGGTGAATACAGTATGAATGGGATGAAGGTAGGTCGATGGGATATTATGTTTAAGGATGATTATGAAAATAATTATTAAGAATCGTAGATATATATTTATTAAACCTATTTAGATAATATGAGAATATTAATCATGAAAAGCATACATAGGAATATAAATAAATGTAGACATTAGATAATTATTAGACATATTTAGTGGTGGTGGATAATATGATTAATATGGAAATTAGAAAAAGCTAGGTGAGTGGGTAGAATTGGATGAAGGGTTCAATAGTATGAAGAAAGTCATTTATAATGGTGAATATAATCTTAATGGGATGAAGGTAGGGAGATGGGATATTATGTATTGTAAAATGAGAGAAAACTAATATAAATAGATGTAAATATGAATTAATAATAAAATATTCGAATATATAGTGGTGGGGGATCATATGATCAAGAGGGAAATTAGAAAAAAATTGGAAGGTGGACAGAATTGGATGAAGGGTTTGATAGTTAAAAATAATTAACTTATAAGGGTGAATACAATGTGAATGGTATGAAGGTAGGTAGATGGGAAATTATATCTAATTAATATGGAGAATATAAATAAATGTAAATATTGGTAATATTCAAAATTTATAGTGGTGGGGGATCATATGATTCAGAGGGAAATTAGAAAAAAATTGGAAGGTGGACAGAATTGGATGAAGGGTTTGATAGTTAAAAATAATTAACTTATAAGGGTGAATACAATATGAATGGTATGAAGGTAGGTAAATGGGAAATTATATCTAATTAATATGGAGAATATAAATAAATGTAAATATTGGTAATATTCAAAATTTATAGTGGTGGGGGATCATATGATTCAGAGGGAAATTAGAAAAAAATTGGAAGGTGGACAGAATTAGATGAAAAGTTTATGAGTATGAAATAAATCACTTACAATGGTGAATATAATATGAATGGGATGAAGGTAGGTCAATGGGATATTATGTATTGTGAAATGTTATTTGGAAATAAATCTTCTAGCTTCATTTTAATGAAATATATTCGTAAATCCTTTAAAATCATTATCAACAACTTTAAGAAATATTTAAAATTAAGGATTCTTCAAATTACTAAAATATTAATTTTTTCTATTTTTAAGTATAATATATATATTCGCTTCATTATTCTAAAGGATATTGTGAATAAAATTAAAAAAAGGATTAAAATCAAAATAATATCTGATTAGGAATTCTTATTAAATAAAATTGCTTTAGGATCAAAGTTTATATTTCTATTTAATATTATAAGAAATTAATAATTTAATGATTATGAAATTGATCTACTCATTCTACTCAAAATCTATTCAACTTATATGTTAAAATCAAATAATAGAGAATCTGTTGTTCTCAAAAAATATTTATAAAATGCTAACTTTTCTTAACACAACTTCATACTTCCCTTGTATTTAAATGATCTAATATGTAACTTACAGGTCTCTTCAATTTATACTGTTTTTTATTTTAGATCTATTCTATGAATACATAATTGATGAATGTAAGTTAATTCATCAATTATCCTCTAAGCTTCATCAAATGTTATAACTTTAATTGAATTATTAGAGAATTAATAAATTTCCCATTTCTTATCTAGATGAATAAAGAAAGTAAATTCATCTGCATCCAACAAGATTTTAAGTAAGAATTGAAGAACTTATTATAAATTCTTATAGGAACTGTCCTATTACATAAGAAGTAAATGTGTATTTGCTAAAATTAAGACTAGAATCATTCTAATTAATTCAATTAATTGCTAATGAATAATATGAGTAAAACGAGGAAAAAATTCTTAGATTTAGTTTAATTAATATTAGATTTTCTGGCTAAAATTTAAAAAAACTTATCTTTTGATTTGATCATGTATTTCAGAACTCATTAAAATAAAAATAAATATATTATTTTTTAATTACTTATTCAATAAATCTTTACTTTATTAAT